CGTAACTTGTCAGTGAACTACGGCTCTGTGTAGTAAATTCTGCTCCATCTGAAAGCACGTGATGATGATTTCCTGCTGATTACAGAACCGGCTTTTTTAACAAAATGCGCATGACAATCGCATTCGATTAATCGTGCAGCCCTACTAGGTAGTTTTTTGAAAGTCGCTAAAGGGGACTGAAAAGTCGCTAAGTTGGCAACACTGTGCATCACCATTTCTCCAACTACAGGCTAGGCAACGGGTCAAACAGAAAATGCATGCTGCGTTAATAAAACTAGTGCCGTTAAAATGAGTTTGCGTTAACGCGTTAATTTTGACAGCCCTAATATTTTTTAAACGTCTATATTGTTTTTATCAGTTATGTTTTAGTTAAAGTACATCAAGGTAGCTAAATTAAAATGAGAAATGTTGGCTTGGCAACTACCTGAAATTATATATATATTTTTATTTCAGTTATTTTTTTTCCGTTGATTTTGGTTTTAGTTAACTGTAATCACCCTGCCTGCTAGTAGATGTTTTGATCTTGTGGCGTGTTTGTGTGTGGTTGCAGGTCCAGCGCTGAGCATTCGTGTCATGACCGACAACGGCGGCAAATCTAGAGGCTTCGGCTTCGTCAGCTTTGAGAGGCACGAGGACGCCCAGAGGGTGAGAAGTGTTAGGCTTCTGTGTGTAATGCTTTTATCACGGTATACGGTATTATCATGGTATTGAAATTTAGTTGCAAAAAAGTGTTGTCATTAAAGTATAACAACTTTTTTCTTATAATAGAAAGAAATGAACATTTACATACAATAAAGTAATGCACAAAATATATATAAAGTAAAAAAAATCACACAGATTAAAGTGCAAAAGAATTATAAAGACCAATAAGTAACACTTTACAATATGATCTCATTAGTTAACCTTAGTTAATGCATTAACATTAATAATGAGCAATAGCTACATTTGCTACAGAAGTTATTAATCTGTTAAAAAGTACAACTGTTAGCTCATTAAATAACACAGTTGCAACTTTTGATGTTAACAACGTTATTAAATATTATTTATATTATTTATTTGACCCTCTAACTCTAACACTCTCTATTCTAATTCTGTTCTATAAAAAAAACTTGCCCCTTTTAGACTTTACTAACTGATTGTTTTTTATAAAAAAAACAAAATTCTCTATTCTCTAAAAATGCTCTTCTTTTTCTATTCTATCTGTTTCCTTTTTATTTATTATATAGTTTAAAATAAAAAAAACCTTGCTACGTGTACTGCGTTAAGCTTAAAAATTACCTAAGATTAATGAATGTTTCGAATAATTTCATTGGCAGTTTAACTAATGTTAATTAATAGAGCCTTAATGTAAAGCGTGACCAAGCAATAAAGAATCAAAAAAATTTCAAACAATATCTAGGGCATGTTGTAGAGTAAAAGCATCGCATGGTGTCATAACACTGATAAAATGTAAAAAAAAAAATTAAAGACTGATTAAAATAAAAAAAAGTTTGAAAATAAATAGCCAATTAAGTCTAAATATTTAAGTATTTGGCGCTGTGCGAATACAAAAATCTGAATGGCTATTTAAATCATTTAAACACATTTCGGAAACAAAGTAGCGCAGCTGCTGTGTTTACATGGTTTCCGGGGTAACGGCTGCATTTCTGCAGTTTAGCGCCATCTGCTGTCAGAGTGAATGTGCTTTTTAATCCAGAGCGTCTCGCTTCTCATCCGTGCTTGTTTACATCAGAGTGCGCACGCGTCTGTGACGCAGCATACAGCAGTGTTGTGCATTGTGACTAGCTGATGGGAAAAATATTCTTAATGCATTCAAAAAATCTGAATTTGTAATAATTATTCACGGTGTTTTGAAGTGCACGTAATAACAATATCGTGCATATTCATTACCGTACCGAATACCGGCACATGTCTAATCCTGACGTGTTTCTTCTGGTCTTCAGGCTGTTGATGAGATGAATGGAAAAGAGCTGAACGGGAAGCAGGTGTACGTGGGTCGCGCTCAGAAGAAGGGAGAGCGTCAGACGGAGCTCAAGCGCAAGTTTGAGCAAATGAAGCAGGACCGCATGACTCGCTACCAGGTAACATGAGCTGTAGATGATGTAGATGAGAGCGGTGAAGGGTCGTCGATGTCTGTACGTGAACTTTAATTCTTTTTTTCAACAGGGAGTCAATCTCTACGTGAAAAATCTGGACGACGGCCTCGATGACGAACGTCTGCGTAAAGAATTTGCTCCGTTTGGCACCATCACCAGCGCTAAGGTACGTACTAGCTAGGGCTGAATGACAAAATTGATTGATTTTAATCGATCTTCATTTTAATGAATCCATAACAGTTCCTAAATCCCAAGATCGATCTTTTAGCCTATACTTTTTTTTTTTTTTTTTCCCCCGTTGATGCATGATAAAAATTTCACTAAACATTTGCATCACGCTTGCCATCCAATAATCACAAAAAGCTTTGTGCTTCGATACTTTAGAGACAACATTCTCATCTTTCAAATTAGGTCAGTTTTATCATGAAATTCAAACAAATATTTGAATAAATCTTGAATTAAAACAATGTTTTCATGTTTATATTTCCGCAACAAATTGAGTAGAAACATAAAAAATTGCATATGTGCAATTTAAATGTTTATCCAATTCAATTTTTATTTGCATGTTTATTATAATTATGAATAATTCTAAAATTATGCATAGAAGGTATAATATTAATATCTATTAATATTACATATATTATATATAAATACCTAAAATTAAATAGCAGTTGGTTATAAATATGATTATATAATATTATGATGTAGATTTTACATTTGAACCTTTCATATTAATATAGCTACAGGTTGTTTATATAAAAATATTATTTATAAAATGATGTGTATTAATAAAATAATAATTATATATGATATTTATGTATAAATAATTAAAAATTAGTAGCAGTTGAATATAATAGTGTAGATATTTTAACCTTTAACCGTTTTAACCTTTATTAATAATGTACCAGTGTGTTATATAAAATAGTGTAATAAAATGAGGAATTTAATATATATATTTTTAGTATATAATTTAGTATATATACTTTCTTCTTTCAGACGAATCCAGTCAAAGCCGTGACGGAGATGAACGGTCGTATCGTGGCCACCAAGCCGCTGTATGTGGCTCTGGCTCAGAGGAAGGAGGAGCGTCAGGCACATCTCACCAGTCAGTACATGCAGAGGATGGCTAGCGTCAGAGCCGTGCCCAACCCTGTCCTCAACCCCTACCAGCCAGCGCCACCATCCGGATACTTCATGGCCGCTATTCCACAGGTCAGAGGTCGCTTTCACACCGCTCGTGGGGGTGTGTGTATTTTTGGCTATTGCTACAAATATACCCCAGCGACTTAAGACTGCTTTTGTGGTCCAGGATCACAAATATCGTCTGCGATAATATCGTAGTTGTTGTTTTAACGATGTGCGATTTGACATTATCGGATATTTTGCAAAAACCATTCAAAACACACTTAGAGTGCATGCTTGCATTATGTGAAGTCTAGACTAGTGCAAGTGCACATTTAAAGTGTGTTCTTTCACTGCATGATTCAGTCTAATAAAATTCATTTGGAATTATCACAAAATTCAAGACACGGTGGCAGAAAATGTATATATTTATACCACTTCATATAGTTTAGAGTGCCGTTTTTCTCCAAAAATTACCATGATTACAAATGTGACAGTTTTTTTACAACGGTTCTATAAACAAGAAGTTTATACGTTTATAGACTTAAGTTTTAGACACCATATTTCCTGTTTTTGCGCTACTTCGACAACAAAAATAATTCCAAACACAGCCACAGCACTGTTTTGCGTCTCTGAGCAACATGACGGTGATTCGTTCATGAATGAATCATTCGTTAAATGATTCGGTTCAATCGCAATGACTCTCTTATTAACAGTGACTTGCTGCCACCTACTGGCGGTTTTAATTTCACATTTATAGTGTCTTTTATAATTTAAATAATTTCAAAAATCAGTATTCAGCGTTTTAATGTAACAAAACATTATTAATGCATTTGTAATTGCAGGTTAAATGCAGTCATGTCTAAATGACTAAATGATCTAAATGCCACTTCAGATGCAGCTTCTGTGTTGATTTCATTTGTTTGCTAACAGCCCAAATGTCTTATTATGCTAATTCACTGATTAAATGTAAGAATTTGACTTATAAGGTAATGGACACTTTTAGAAAAATGGCTTTATATAGGTCAAAATGCCCTTAAAATGTAAAAATCAGTTCAAACTTATTGGAAAAGATTAAAGTGCCCCTATTATGGGTATTGAAAGGTTCATATTTTGGTTTTGGGAGTCCCCAACAACAGGTTGACATGTATGCAAGGTCAAAAAACAATTTCATTGTCTTATAATATGCATTTATTTAACCTTACTTGCTCAACGACTCCCAAACGATTTGTTTTAAAAACGACTCGTTTCAATGATTCAGAGTCGACTCTTTCTTTTGAGAGACAATAACTTTATACACGGTGCACTTCCAGATTTAAAACTTTGCAGGATGTTTTCATTCACTTAGAGCTGTGTTGCACACTAGGGCTTGCACGATAAATCGAAATGAAATCGCGATTAGACAGAAGCTGCGATTGTCGTGTGTATCTTTCGGTGAAGAACGGTTCTGTGATCAGTAGTAAATCTCCATCTGAAGGCCAGAGAAACTCAATACGCCTCGCGGAAGAAACCCAGGAAATCTATAGCGGTTGCTGAATAAACAGAAGATTTAACTGCTTTCATTGATTCAACGTGACTAATAAACACGACTACGGAAATATCGTTTATCTGAGTTCTTATTATAATTTTCATTATAATAAAGTATATTTATATATGTTTAGAATACAATTGAACTGTTGTGTGCCTTATTCTGTGTAAGAAGCCACATCATCTCACAGAAGGATTTCTCACTCGGCTGACGTTAAGTGAGTTTGGAGTAAAAACATGTTATTAAATGTGTATTTACACGTGCTTTCAGATGGAGCAGCATTTACTACACAGAGCCGTAGTTCACTGAGAAGCTATGCAAACAGCTTTCATTATCGCGAACAATTTCTTCGATTTCATAATTGCGCAATTATATCGTCTGCGGACCTCCACACAGAATATAAAGAATATCAAAAACTTTAGGAGTCAGTTGTCCACGACAGTCCTTAAGATACCAGCACAATAACACACTCAGCAAAATATAGTGTAATTACCTAATGACTTTAAAGACTAAAATCTTGCGCTCTATTCAAATTACTAACTGCTTGTTTTCTTTAAAAAAAACAACAAAAAAAACACTAACACTAATCTTTTTGTATTCGGTCTATTTGTTTTCTTTTTATTTATTATACAGTTAACAAAAGCAAACAAGGCCTAACACTAGCTTGCTCTATTTTTTTTTTTCTATTCTACGTGTTTTCTTTTTATTATATAATTTAAAAAAAGTACTACGTGTGCTGCATTAGGCTAACTGAGACTTATAGCACTTGCATATCATTGCTCTTTTGTTGGTTTTGATTGCTTCCATTGTCCTCATTTGTAAGTCGCTTTGGATAAAAGCTAAATGACTAAAGGTAATATTCATAAAACCTGCAGTTTACATTAGACAGTTGAGCTTTTTTTTGTGCCTGTGGAAGTAACCGTGCATTAGCAGCAATCATGATGTGGTTTTTACTCGTAACCGGTTGTGCTTCTCTCTCTGTGTGACTGACAGGCTCAGAATCGTGCTGCTTACTATCCCACCAGTCAGCTCGCTCAGCTCCGCCCCAGTCCTCGCTGGGCCACTCAGGGTGTCCGCCCTCAGCGTGAGTCTTCGCCCACACATCCTTAGCCCTGCCCACATCTCCAGCACACTTGCACAGACCACCAAAGCTCTTCACTTCACTGCTCTGTTTCTCATCTCCGCTCCAGATTTCCAGGGCATGCCCAACACCATCAGGCCCTCGGCGCCCCGTCCGCAGACCTTCGGCGCCATGCGTCCCGCCTCGCAGGTCCCACGGGTGATCGCGCCCCAGCGCATGGGTGAGCCATGAACCTCGCGGTTATACACACCATAGATACAAACGCCTCACCTTTCAGGACAACTCACTTTTTTGAGATCAAAATGAGCTTTGCTTGGATCCAATGAGAAAGTGTTTTTATGAGGGGGGCGGGGCCGGGGGGGGTGTCTTGCAAGTGTACTTGTGATCTTACAAGGGTAAATAAATAACTGGGGCCGGTTGCATAAACTGTTTACACTAGTCTTAAAAAGTTAGTCATCTTTTTTCTTTTTTCCTTTAAGACTGGTCATAACTTTTTTTATTTTACGGACAAAATTCATTTTATGGACAAAATTCATTAAAAGGTCTATTGGTCTTTATTTGTATTGGAAAAGTAAGACTGATTACCCCTTGGCAGCTGCTAGTTTTATCTTTTATAACATGGGATTTTGACCACATATATTCAATCTTGGTTTTTGTAAAATGTTGTTCTTGAAAAACAACAAAAAAACGACTAGCTTCTCTAATCTTTTTGTATTCTATCTATTTGTTTTCTTTTTATTTATTATTCAATTAACAAAAGCAAAAAGGCTTCTAACACTAGCTTGCTCTATTTTTTTTCTACTCTGTTTTTTTTATAATAAAAAAAAAAAACTTGCTACGTGTGCTGTGTTAGGCTAACTGAGACTTGATATACAGTAGCACTTGCATATCATTGCTCTTTTGTTGGTCTTGATTGCTTCTATTGTCCTCATTTGTAAGTCGCTTTGGATAAAAGCTTCTGCTAAATGACTAAATGTAAATGTAACCATCCTACTTGTACAACGACATTTTTAGTTTTTTCAAACAATTTTAGACATTGTTTCAAAGCATTTTTATATTTCGTAAAATTCTTAAAAATGAGATACTAGTAATACGTTGCCACCGTTAATATTTCAAATCATAGCAACTAAAGCTGGAGAAACGCTGTGCCACCAAAACGTTCTCAAGCGCCACCAGCTGGCCGTTTTAAGAAGAGCACCTGACATTTTTTCAGCTGGCTAAAAACTCTTTGGTGGACACACGTTATTGAATATTTATTGTTAGGCATATGGCCTATTACTCTTTTTTGCATTTATGCAATATACTGGAGCCAAACCTGAGAAAGTTGACCAGAATATTCTACTGCGTTCCTGGACACGCAATTTGCGTAGCTGTAATTCATAGGCTGGGATTATGCTTATTGTGAATGAGCACGCACGAGCGCCCTATTTACGAGTGATTGGAATGCATGTTTAACTATCAAATCGGATGTTTACGAAGCATTAGTGAATCCGGAGGAGAGTTTTTGGGGAAGGTCTGTTTTATGGAATTTGCTCCTTTACGCAAGTTTCATGAATGAGGCCCAATGAGTGTGTATCTGCAGTTCACTGATCCAGATTGTGCTCCGTGTTCCTCGCAGCGTCTCAGGCCATGGGCCCTCGTCCCTCCATTGCAGGTGCAGCCACAGGAACAGCTCAGGTGAGAGGAGTGCCGCAGTACAAATACGCACCTGGAGTCCGCAACCCACAGCAGCACATGCCCACTCAGCCGCAGGTGCCCATGCAACAGGTACTCGCTTTGTTTACTGGAACGCTTCCTATTTACTCCCACAAATTTCTGGTTCAGTGTTAATTTCGTTGACGAATAATTTTCGCCATGATTTTCGTCATTTTGACTTTTTTTTTTTTTTTTTTTTTTTTTTCACCGACGAAAATGAACTATAGCGAGAAAAAAAAATTTGTCTTAAATCCAGAGGCGGACAGCAGTGAAGTATTTTTACTTTACTCAAGTAAATTTAAAAAGTATCTGAGTGTTTTTCTTTGGAAAACTTTACTTCTCTACATTTCAAAGCATGATGTCTTTTTACTGCACTACATTTCATAAATAAGTTGTTTGTTTTACCTTTAATGCTTAAGAACATTAAAAATGTAGTTCTTTCTTGTACTCAAGTAAATTTACTTTCATTTTATTAGAAGTAGGCCAACAGCGCCCCCTACGTTATTAAAACTTGTTACCGAACGAGCATTAGGACCCGGGGGAGGCTGCTGTTATTACTGTTTACTCTCTCACACAGAACACATTCTGTACTGCATTCTCCGTTTAAATGCAACGATCAAAACAGTGAATCTAATCGCCATTATTACCTTATCGGCGTGACATATCGGCATAATTTTTTATATCGGGCCGATGCCGATATTTACATTTAAAGACATTATCGGCCGATTCCGATATCGGTCCGATAATATCGTGCATCCCTACTATATAATAAGTCTCAACTGCCTGAATTTATTTTTGTCACAAAATATAACTTATCCAGCTCTTTATATAAAGTAGAGCTCGACCGATATATCGTTTAGCCGATATTATCGGCCGATAGGAGCCTGTCGCCCATATATTGGTATCGGCGAATATGCCGCCGATATGAAATTTTTTTTATACAGAGCATATAATGCAGATAAAATGCTTGAAATGGTGTAATTACTTAGTTTGTCCAGCAGAGCGCACTCCATTGTTTGCTACTGGCGTGGCGTTCGAAAGGGCTCCTCGAGCTGAAGGGATTCCCCGAATTTGGTGGAGATCCGCCGGTGCGTTCGCGAGATAGTGACACCAGTCAACACTTTCCCTTCAGTAAGGAGGCCTCTTGTTCAGGCAGCAGCATTCAAGCGTGGTCTTATTCGACCGTAAGTGCCCCGCGAAGTGGACTTCACATGATATTCCGCCATGATTCCAGTTCCAAGGGAACGTACACGTTACATTCAAAGGGCATTAAAGTGTTTATTTACGGAGGTAAATTGTCACACTTCTCTAGTAAGTTTCATCTGTGTGTGAAGACGGTAGCGCAAATCCGTGAATGAATGTTTCAAAGTGAAATAAACTTCAAGTTGAATGGGATTGAATTAAAGTTGTATAAACTTCAACTTTACTGTTCAGTGTACTGATGTCAGACTCATTTTGAATAAAGTTTGTTTATATGTATATATATTCTGTATTATCTTTATCATTATCTGTGTTTATATGTATATATATTCTGTTTATGTATATACTGTATTCTATATATAGTACCAGTCAAATGTTTGGACACACGAATGGGAAAGTGTCCAAACTTTTGACTGGTACTGTACTATAATATACACAAAGAATATCGGCCGATATATCATTTTTTTTACTCCCAAATATCGGTATCGGTCCCAAAAACCCCATATCAGTCGGGCTCTAATATAAAGCTGGATATATAACTCTGCAACTTGTTTAATACTATGTAGCAAATCTCAACTACTCGATTGTTGTTGCAAGATGTAACCGTTATTGTCCAGCTCCAATCTGATAAATGTGACTTTGAAGATGAAGATATTAAGATATTATAAACATTAACATCATGATTTACTGTCAAGCGGCTCTGAAACAACATGTGAAGAGGGGTTTTCAAAATTTGACTTGCTTTTTGCTCCAGAGCGTCACAGAGTGCATGTTTGCTTGTGTATCTTGCACAAAAAAGTGTTTCTTAACGTTTATGTATTTGTCTCGCATTCAGCCTGCTGTCCACGTTCAGGGTCAGGAGCCTCTGACGGCGTCCATGTTGGCTGCCGCCCCTCCACAAGAACAGAAGCAGATGCTGGGTGAGTTTATCCTTTTGTTCCTGTTTTGCTTTTTTTCGTGTATTGGAATGTGTCCCGTTTTGTGTTTTTTTTTTTGTTGTTTTTTCTGAGCAAAAATTAAGTCGTCATATGTTTTTACTGTTATTTACATAGACACCCACTGAAATGCCATTCATTGCAAGAATAGTTCATATACCAAAACATCTCGTCAGGTATATTTAGAATCATTAGATGTCATTAAAAGTCTCTATTTAAGGATCACAGTGCAGCTCTAAAAATACTAATTGTCATTGTAAATCTTTACCAATCTTCATTATTATAGGTTCTACTCATTTGTCAGCAATATGTTTTTAATCATTTAAAATATAATAAAGTTCTGTATAATGCATAATAATTTTATAATAATAATTTTATATATATGTTTAGTTGGTATAGGTCAGAATAGGTATGTAGTTTCATTTAACTTAATTATGTTGCACTGAATGATGGTGGAACATCATTTCAACCATATTTCGACACTTTAGTTATTTGAAGCAATAAAGTACTTTTTCCAAGTACTTACAATTTGAATTTTGAAATTAGAAACTGCACATTAAATCCAAGTATGTGTATATAAAATATACGCCAACATGTGATTGTTTTTATGTATAGTATACCTATATTTGCATTTTTACGTGTATTTTTAAAGATGTCAATTGCATATTTTAAAATGTATGTCAGTTAAAAAAGTCAATAGAATTTCAATGGAATATCTCCTTCATGCTCTCTTCTGCGACAGGTGAGCGTCTGTTCCCGCTCATCCAGAACATGCATCCCAGTCTGGCTGGAAAGATCACCGGAATGCTGCTGGAGATCGACAACTCTGAGCTGCTGCACATGCTGGAGTCTCCGGAGTCCCTGAGGTCAAAGGTCAGTGCTCATGGGATGCTCAGTTTTGTTTTCTGTTATTGGGTTTTTCCTGATAGCGGTGATGTGATCTCAGCACTTTGATAATGTGATGATGATAATGTCAAGAATGTGTTTCATCCCCAAACCAAAACTTTCTTTTTTTTTTGTTTAACCCTTGTACGACCTTATGGACATTTTTGTCTTTTCAGTTTAGTTTTTTGATCATTTTGCCTGTGTTAATGCCAACTGCATAAATTTTGGCACAGGTGTGTATTTTTATTGTAATTTTAATATTTCACCCTAATTTCCTTTAATCTATTTTACACTAGGTACAAAAAATAGTTCCTTTAAGGACAAAACCGTCCTCATTGAAACCCATTAAAACGGCAGTTTTTAATCCCAGGGCTGTTTAACTATAAAATGATGCCGTTTTTGTTAATAGGCTTTCATTCTGTTGGCAAGGCTTCAAAATTTAAATTTGTAAAAAATTTACCAGATGGTGCCATTTTCTCAGGTTTGGCCTATAAAGCAAAAACTCACATTTGTCCTGTTTTCTGCTTTTGCTGTATTATAGAGCCAGTGTGTCCTAAAAAAAGTGTGTGTTTGTGTGTGTGTGCACCTGTAATGTTTGAGAGAGAGAAATTATACTGTACCACCACTGTGTTCGCCAGCGGAGCTTTGCTGGAGTCCAATGGGGAAAGTTTGGTACTGCACCCAAACAAAGTCTTACTAAAAGCTCATTTTTAAAGATATCAACCTCAAATTCGGAAAACAACTTTAGATTTATGCATTTGATTTTCTAGCAATTTTTGTGTTCAACATGTTTTATAAAATATATAGTTTATATTAAAAATGGCTTAAACCTTAAATTTAAAAAAAACTTTTTTTTTTAACGTCAACAATAATCTGTCAAGGGTTTTCTTTAAAATGAGACCAAACGTAAGTCTGTACTCCCAAGCTTCGCATTTTTATGACAGTTTTTGGACATGGACATTTTTGCCCTCTATGAACTTATGTGTAACTTTTATTTTTTAATTGATGCACAAGGGTTAATATTCTATATATAAAAATATACTTTATATTCCAGGTGGATGAAGCAGTAGCGGTGCTGCAGGCTCATCAGGCCAAAGAATCTGCCCAGAAACCAGTCCCCAGCACCGCTGTGCCGGCCGTCTAACACCAGGTGAGAGGAGAACTTGGATGAGTTTTTCCTTTGCACTTTTTGACTATTAAAGAAATACAGTTTTTCTAATCTTTTACGTTTTTCTTCCTTTTCCAGAATGGTTCTCTTCGGCCCTGTCTTCACCAAGAGGGACACGGTACAAAAAAAAAAAAGTGAATAAATATCGAAAAACAGAAACTCAAACAGAAAAAAACAACAACACGATGACATCAAAATGTTTTGCCAGGTTGAGAAACTAACTCTTGACCTTGATTATATTAAAAAAAATTTAAAAAAAACATGCAAAAAAAAAAAAAAACTTTTAATTTTGAAAATTCCAAAACATTCCTTTCTTTTTATTCCTCTTAATGAATGCTCATTATCAGTTGTGTTCTGGCAGTTGATAGCTGAACATTTGGAAAAGTACATTGGATTAAACTGCTTGAATAAATAAAACTTTAAACATTCATAGTTCATGTGTTTTATTGAACAGCTTGACCCAGTGATGTGTTGTGCTGAAAGCCTTTGGACACAAAGCAGCTGCATTCATTTTTAAAAGAGCTGCACATTAGTTTCTCAGAAAGCATTTTTCCGATGTACAAGTTAGCCGTAATGAATGCAGAGGAACCTGCATGATGAGAATGTTGACATGGTGTCGTCAAAGGTAGAAAATGGCTCGTTTAATGTCTTCAGTCATAAGATGGAGTTGATCACATTTGGCACATGATCAAAGGAGAACTGTTTCTTAGATGCCTAGTATTGTTCTTCTAGAGTTTTGACGCCTTTGAACTTAAATGCATGCCTCTTTTAAGGCTGTTAGTTACAAGTTAACATGAACGAGTCGGCAAAACTGAAATGTACAAAATACAGCTGGAAAAACTCTTATTAAAGCAATGGTTGAGGTGTGCTTAGGATTGAGTAAACTGCTTGAATAAATAAAACTTTAAACATTCATAGTTCATGTGTTTTATTGAACAGCTTGACCCAGTGATGTGTTGTGCTGAAAGCCTTTGGACACAAAGCAGCTGCATTCATTTTTAAAAGAGCTGCACATTAGTTTCTCAGAAAGCATTTTTCCGATGTACAAGTTAGCCGTAATGAATGCAGAGGAACCTGCATGATGAGAATGTTGACATGGTGTCGTCAAAGGTAGAAAATGGCTCGTTTAATGTCTTCAGTCATAAGATGGAGTTGATCACATTTGGCACATGATCAAAGGAGAACTGTTTCTTAGATGCCTAGTATTGTTCTTCTAGAGTTTTGACGCCTTTGAACTTAAATGCATGCCTCTTTTACGGCTGTTAGTTACAAGTTAACATGAACGAGTCGGCAAAACTGAAATGTACAAAATACAGCTGGAAAAACTATTAAAGCAATGGTTGAGGTGTGCTTAGGATTGAGTTAATTTATCAACCTTTGCACTGGAAGCATTGACTTACCGCATTTAAACATTACGGAGTTCCTAATTCGTTATTATTGGCAGGACATGAATGTATTGGTTAACAAAAGATGGAAACTCTTATGATTGGTCCTGAATGCCTTACAGGATAATTTGATTTTTCCGATTTAATTAAAAAAAAAAATTATAAATTTTTTATTTAATTTGTTTATTTTTTTGGGTGAAGGAACATTGTCATCATTTGAAATCATTAAAATAACAGCAGTATTAAAATACTGTATCCGAAAAGTGTAACTGTTTTCTGTCACCATAAAGTGCTTCTTACAGTAAACCACAAATTTAACTTCTGTAAATATTTAATTCGGTTTTAATCAAACCTGTAAATCTGTGTCCCTTTAAGATCTTGACACATGTACACTAGATGGCAGCAGCAGCAAAAATAAATAAGATGGATGTTTTTAGGGTGTTTTTGGTTTTGTATAAAGCTTTGGCTGCATTAATTTTTTTTTCAAGATTTAATTTATTTTGGGGAACCCATGTTTAAACATGCCACAAAATTGAACTAAGCAATTACTTTTAAATATAAGTAACGTTTGATATTCTGCCATATTTAATTTATATAATATTTTAATGTTTTGTGTAGAAAAACAACGTTTTCTAGTCCGATAAGGCTAATACACCGTGAGCGTATTGCAGGAGGGCCGCCAAACTTAAAATTTATATTTTTAAAATTTTCATTACGTTGGATAACTTTATAAGATATTGTGAAAAGATGAGGTACATTTAAAACAAATACATATAATAAATAAATATAAAAAGATGAGGCGACCGTTAGGATCGCGTTCAGTTTTTTAGCGCGCAAACTGCTAGCGCTATATTCAGTCAGAAATGAAAGCCTTCATATCCGCATCTTCACGCATCATATTCGGTGAGTTGAAAACAATTACGTTTACTAAGCTGAAGACACGTTTGTTTTTATGTTTCTGAACGTTAATGTGAACTTTAGATCGAAATATTGGATTATACGTTTTGAATGCTGAAGTCGAGTGGAATCGCGTTCGCGTTATTCGCGTTAGTTAAATATATCTCGCTCTGTGGGATTATTAGGCCTTAAATAAAACCTTTCAATGAAAAACCTGATAGTTACTCATCTTAGACTGACAGGAAAACGGGTTATTCGGGTTCACCAACCGAAAGAAAACTAAACCATGGCCTTCAACTTTCCAGCTCAGTCATTCTTATGACCGTCATAAAATCTGGAATATAAATAGATTCAAAATGCTGTCATTGAGAAACATGAATCACGTCCTGTTGATAAGACTAGAGTGGAATATGAAGGTCATCAAAGGCGCAGTACACAAATAAAGTGAAAATTTAATTGAAAAAATTGTGGCATTTGACCTGAAATAGGCTATACATATATAACTGTGTTTGCTCGATTCTGGCATCCAGGATGATGTTAAACCTCGTTTTGTTGTAGTTTTCAGTCAAAGCTGCTGAAAATCAAGTGAATGTCACGTGTGAATTTAAACATAGAATCTAGCATTTAAAACAGATGCTTTTATCCAAAGTGACTTAGCAAATAAGGACAACGGAAGCAATCAAAACAACAAAAGAGAAATAATATGCTGCTTTTATAAGGGTTATTTGTCTTTCTAATACACGTTTAAAGCAGAATTGGTTAAATGTGAGCTTTCAAAGCAATAAAATAAAACAAACCCCCTTTTCAGAATTAATATATGAAATATAAAGAGTTTGCAGTGCATGAATGAATTCACGTCTGCACACACCTGTCGTGCGTGTCCTGTCGGCATGTTTGAATAGTTTTGCAATGTTTTGCCATTGATTTAGCAATGAGATCCAAGCCTAAACAACAACTTGCATGGCCAACTAAACAATCTGACGAGATAAAATCATTCCCGTGCAAGTTGCAAAAGATCTTTATATTTGGAAACCTTTGCTGGAAATCATGTAGATAAACATTGATTGTGTGTTCAGGCTTATGCCTATATATCATTTCATGCACTTCTGTATATTTGGAGCATATGATTATTATATGTGCTATATTGGCTTTTTCTTTTTCATGTTGTGCTGTTTACAGCAGTGTTTTCTCACCATTTTCCTGGAGTTCCACCAACAATGCACATGTTGGACGTGTCTCTAACCAAACACACCAGAAACACATCCACACTGTGTACTTTTGAGGACCTCAAGGAACACTGTTAGGACACGCTGTTTTACTACATAGCTGAACATCGTTTAGAGTTTTGCAACTGATAAAATAAGTGACCCTGGAGCACAAAAGCAGTCTTAAGTCGCTGGGATATATTTGTAGCAATAGCCAACAATACATTGTACGGGTCAAAATTGTCCATTTTTCTTTTATACGTGTGTGTGTGTGAGTGTGTGTGTGTGTGTGTGTGTGGCATTAAATGATGCATGTATTGCAAAAAAAAAAAAAAAAATCTTCCTGTATTTTCGTCTCACTTTTTTCAATACAAATATCTAAACGTCCTTTAATCAAGATGCATTTACTGGAGATGCAAAATGTCGTAAGATACGAACAAAATGCGAAACTGAACTGAAGTTTATGACTTAAATAAGAGAAATTAATATAAAATCTTAAGAACTTGCACCATGAATAGAATCAACACTTCATATCCAGTTAACATGAGCTCGTAAATACAGCATGCATATTATTAAAGAATGAGCAAAATGTTGTTTAAATCATTCTAGGGCTCTACAGGACATGTGAAGCTTGTTTATGGGTATTTGACATTTAGTCATTTCTGAAATTGACATTACATTTAGTCATTTAGCAGATGCTTTTATTCAAAGCGACTTAGAAATGAGGACAATGGAAGCAATCAGAATCAACAAAAGAGCAATAATACGCAAGTGCTATGAAAAGTCTCAGTTCTCAAAAGAAAACAGATAGAATAGAAAAAGAACAGAGCAAGCTAGTGTTAAAGGCCTTTTTTTTAAATGAGTGAAATAGTTCATTACTGCAGCAGCAGCAGTTGTTTTCGTTTGTCTGGCACGAGTTATTTTTTTCTCTTTTACTATCGAGTTGGTGATAAGCTGGTGTCCTCAGTGTCTGTCTCAGACTGTCTCGACCTTCAATAAACACTGGCTTATCAAACGCGTTTACAATCACAATGATTCAGACACTGATCTGTGCGATTTAGACGCTTTCCACCCGGGATGTTCTGATCGTGATGAAGTGCATGTTCACTATGAACCACAAAACATCATCATCATTGAGAGATCACAAAGAAAGCACAAAGACTTTGAATTATGACAGTTATAAAGAGACTGCATGTTGTTTCTGCCATACTGCAAATCAGTTCATATTGGTTTTAAAGCCAAAAGAGTAATTTACATTAACAGCAAACAAAATTATACTTTTTCCTGTCATTGGCTTTGGTGAGCGTCTGCAGAGAACATAATATTTGTAATGGAAATGTAAGTGGAATTACACAAGTAGCTACTTGTTGATTCGATTGAAAGCAATATAGTAATTAGCTTATCTGGTTAAGTTCTCTGTGCTAGGCACTGCTGAGATAATAAACCAGGACAAGATCGTGAGGTTACAGGAAAAACACCTCAAAGATAGCGAGAATCCTCAAGAAAGTGATAAACTTTTTTTTTTTTAATCCTCAATTGTTTCTGATTGATGAATGTTTCATGGTGTTGATTAATTTTCTACTGGAGTCGAGTCAGCTTCATTGATCACGTTACAGTTTGCGTCACAACCTTGTTTGTGTGTTAATTTACATAGAATTCGAGAGTTTGATTACTTCAGTTTTTCAATCAGTCAAAAGTCAATTTATCTGAGTGATTTTCTTTAGATCAATTAACAGCCAGACTATTTGTTTTCTGCAGAAAGTCTGAAAAGAGTAAAAGGCAAACAAATAAAAACTAGAAGGTAGTACAGATAGAAAAGGAGTAGATTAAGTCTGAGTAGATCTGTGCATAAGAACACTCCTTACTGTGGTAAAATCACTGTAACACACTGGTTTCAGAAACCACACTAAAAAAAAATTGGTGTAGAAGCAATTTTCACTCAGAAATTGCTAGTGAATTTACAAAGAAACGGCAAGTAACACATTGGCTTAAAAGTGAAATTTGAAGTAGAAAAACTGAAATTGTAGTGTTTTCTTTTTTAAATTTGATTTGTTATTGGAGTAAAACATACTCCAATCGTTTTTTATTTACAACTTACATCCCCCAATTTTTTTATTTTTTTTACAGTGCAGCAGCAATATTAATAAAACACCAATGTTCAATAAGCAGTTAGATGTTCTAAAAATAATTGAATTTATTTGTAATATAGTAACATATTTTTACAATGACTTTGGATGTGACACATTGAAGCACGAAGATTCAGAACTGTTTAACAAATTGTACTTTTGCAAACAGACAAATAAACACCTGCTGGAGCACAGTCATAGTCACTGTGACTGGTAAAACATTAATAATATAATATAATATTTGTGATTTATACTGATATTTCCAAAAATGTTGGTTTTATCAGAACACACGGCTACTTTTAAATATAGAGAAAGATGATTTTTCCCTCAAAATGACACAGTTACGTCATTTACCAGCAGGGAGATTAACCAATTAACCAGCTAAACCTTGAGACATTGTTAGAAAATCCCACACAGCTTGGAAATCTTTATTATAAATACACTTCTGCCAAATACTTTCAGGCTTTGGATTTTCTCTAATAAATTACATTTTTAACCTGTTAACTGTCAGTTCCACTTTTTGAGCATAGACCTGAAAATGACATTTACAGCTTAAATTTAAAGGGGCCATATGATGCTGCTAAAAAGAACATTATTTGCCGGCGGGCTTGAGTGAGCGGAGGCCGGAGGGCTTGCGGCAACCACATGTGGCGACCCCGGACTGGACTCCGCTTCGTCCACGGATCAGCTCTAGGCATGACGTAGTGGATATCGTTCTATTTTGGAAGGCCAAACAAAGTAGTTTCACTTTCACAACGAAACACACGGCAACAACAATACTACAGCGAGAATCAAAGTTTCGCCTTCTTTCTTTGCGTGAACATTTGGGTGGCGTTATGCAAATCTTCCCACATCGTGACGTAGACGTGGGGGCGTGTTAGAACGAGCCGTTTTAGGTAGGCGTGGTTGACTCTTAACTTTTATAAAGAATATCTCTTTGGATTTGAGACTTTAGTCTTTGCAACTTTACAGATCTTCTTTATGCACCAAGAGCTTGTAACACTTCAAAGAGAAAGGAAAAATTGAAATCGCATCATATGACCCCTTTTAAGACACTTGGCAGATGATTGTAGAAGTGAAAAAAGTTAGTAGAAGTTTAAGTTCATGAAAACATCATGTAAACAAAAATGTGAACATTTAAATTTTAATATTTTATATGTTAAGAGTTAACAAGTTAAATAAATGCATCTTCATGGGATATAGTTCTCCCAAAAAATGGTCATTGTTATCATTTACTCCTGTTTCAAACCTGTATGATTGACTTTCTTTTAGGGATGCACCGATAGGATTTTTTTTGGCCGATACGATACCGATTTTAACAAACAACTATTGGCCGATACCAATCCCGATACCGATTCCGATGTTGGTCAATTGCATAAAGCAGGGCTTAAAAATGAGAAAGAAAAAAAAAAAGATAGGTTCACTCCGAGCAGAATCGGTATTTGAACGTTTCTGTAAAGTACAGCGTTTAATTTACGTCTTGAATGATCAAATGTATTAAACAAAAGAAAAAACTGTCAACGCAATAAAAACATTAAATAATTTTTTTCAAGATATTTAAAAATGTTTCAGCATGGATAAAAAAACGCTACTCCTATAAGCGTTAATTGTGAGAGAAAAAAAAACAGCCTAAATTAGTAGGCTGTACGTTGCATTTTATTATTACATTCAGAAATAATGTAGGCTAAAATAATATATCTCTTTGGATTTGAGACTTTAGTCTTTGCAACTTTACAGATCTTCTTTATGCACCAAGAGCTTGTAACACTTCAAAGAGAAAGGAAAAATTGAAATCGCATCATATGACCCCTTTTAAGACACTTGGCAGATGATTGTAGAAGTGAAAAAAGTTAGTAGAAGTTTAAGTTCATGAAAACATCATGTAAACAAAAATGTGAACATTTAAATTTTAATATTTTATATGTTAAGAGTTAACAAGTTAAATAAATGCATCTTCATGGGATATAGTTCTCCCAAAAAATGGTCATTGTTATCATTTACTCCTGTTTCAAACCTGTATGATTGACTTTCTTTTAGGGATGCACCGATAGGATTTTTTTTGGCCGATACGATACCGATTTTAACAAACAACTATTGGCCGATACCAATCCCGATACCGATTCCGATGTTGGTCAATTGCATAAAGCAGGGCTTAAAAATGAGAAAGAAAAAAAAAAAGATAGGTTCACTCCGAGCAGAATCGGTATTTGAACGTTTCTGTAAAGTACAGCGTTTAATTTACGTCTTGAATGATCAAATGTATTAAACAAAAGAAAAAACTGTCAACGCAATAAAAACATTAAATAATTTTTTTCAAGATATTTAAAAATGTTTCAGCATGGATAAAAAAACGCTACTCCTATAAGCGTTAATTGTGAGAGAAAAAAAAACAGCCTAAATTAGTAGGCTGTACGTTGCATTTTATTATTACATTCAGAAATAATGTGGGCTAAAATAATGGTAAATAAAAGCAAAATTACAAACACAATTAGGCTATTTTAGTTCCCTTCTCTCCACAACAAATCCTCTAAAGTTGTATTTAGGATAAATATAAGCGTCAAGCCAAAACGAATTAATTTAAAAACGAAACTGAAGCCTACTGAAGAGAAAAACGTTGGATTATGCAACAGACATGCAACTCGTTGTCTCCATGCAGTTAATTAATAAACCATCGGTATCGGTCCTTTTCATGCTATTTCCGATATGCCGATGGCTTTAAAATAATAAAAAATCGGCCGATAAATATCAGCAGCCGATACATCGGTGCATCCCTACTTTCTTCTGTGGAACAAAGATATTTTGAAGAATGCCAGGAATCAAAACTGCACAGACATTTCTCAAAATACCTTCCTGTGTGTTCTACAGAAGAAAGAAGAACGAGTTGGAATGACATGATGGTTTTTTAAAATATTTAACAATGAGGAAATAGAAAGAGTGTATGAAAATAAATTTTTGGGTGTTATAATTGATCATAAATTATGTTGGAAACCACATATTAACCATGTAAAAACAAAAATGTCCAAATCCATTGCAATATTAAATAGAATAAAACATATTTTGAATGAAAAAACTTTATATATATTGTATTGTGCGCTAATGCTAAATTTAGGTGTATATCTATCAAAAGGGTAAGTAAATCTGTGGAATAAATGTGATAAGGAATTAAAATGATGCAATTCACTTAGCAAGTTTAAGAAAACGTATAAAAACTTATTTTTCGCATCCAAAATAAAAGTTTTTGTTTGCATAATATATGTGTGTGTTCTGTGTATATTTATTATGTATATATAAATACACACACATACAGTATGTATTTTGAAAATATTTACATGTCTATATTTATGTTCATATAATTACATTATAAATATATTTAATATATAAACATAAAAAAAAATTCTGAAATATATACATGCGTGTGTGTGTGTGTGTGTGTGTTTATATATACATAATAAATATACACAGTACACATACATATATTATGTAAACAAAAACTTTTATTTTGGGTGCGATTAATCGTGATTAATCGTTTGACAGCACTAGTTTATTTATCTATTTATTTTTGTGAAAAGTTGTCTGTTTTCTAACTTCAGCGGTTTCCTCAGGCAGTCATCCTTCCCGTCCTCAAGGGTCATTCACCTCTCACTCCTTTTACTGTGCTGGATTCGTCTGTTCGTGGGTTTATAGGCTTGTCTGTAATGATAGGGATCATATAATGAGTACTTGAGGAGTCCTTGGTCGCTTGGTACGGCCTGGTGTAATGACTTCAGCAGAGATAATATTGCCTCACCTCCAGTATATCCCAGCCTACGGTGGCTTTGCACTGAAGCGCCTTATCACCCTTTACCCAATTGCTAAATAGTTGTTTTGTTCACAGCAGATGTGGATTGACAGGTCAAGGTTCAGGAGTGCTTGTTATAAATAGGAGCTTCAGAGGCTTGAGTTCTAGAAGAGTGTTTGTGTATTTGGTGAGAGCATGGATTGCGAATGCGACGGTTTCGGACAGTCGAACGCCATCCTCTTCAACATCCTCAGCCGAGGCGAGTCGACTCCGAAGCGGGTTCCTCAGACATGCCACTCAACGGCCGAGAGACGCCGAGCTCCGATCCAGAGCAGCCCACGCTGGCCGGCGTGCAGACGCTTAAAGCATGCCTCAAGAAGTTCTGGAGTCTGGATTTAAGCCCCAAGGAGTACGCTTATCTGAAAGGCACCGTGATATTCAATCCAGGTACGGTCTCCAAAACCAACATGGTGTTGCACATTAACATATCTAGACACTAAATTATATTTAAATTATGTGAAGTTATAATATCAAATACTACATACAAAATTATTAAAATGTAATCATTCAAAATAATATATATATATATATATGAAGAGTTTATTTGCAAAGAGAGAACTCTTTTTTTCTTCTTTTTTTATTTTCAAAAATCATGTTTTTTTTATTGTGTTAGTTAGCTGTATTTTTTGAGTTATTTCTTAACCTAATCAAAATAACCCAGCTGTAGATTGATTGAGATTAATTGGAATGCACAATGAAAAAACATGATTTTTGAAAATTGTTAAAAATTGAGTTATTTGTTTTTGCAAATGAATATATATATGTGTGTGTGTGTGTGTGTGTGTGTGTGTG